TGTGTGTGTGTGTGTGTGTTTCAGACATGCATTCCTGGCTTTCGGAGGGTCAACGGAGATCTGTACAACGGTGTGTGTGAAGCTTGTCGTTGCTATGAACACGCTACACGATGCCACGAGGTCACAGGACACTGCCTGGTAAGATCATTAACAAGTTTATTAAATCGTCCGTCTGTGAGTTCATTCATTCACTTCAATACTTTTTAATTAAATTGACTCTAAACCAAACAAACTAATTTCAAGGGAAATATGCAGCTTATAAACTGTTGAGAAAAAGTTCACGTCTTACGCTCAACAGACTTAATTACTTTTGATATTTAAAGAATTGACTCATATGGAAAACACAATTTGGTATTATTTAATATTCAAGAGAGAATTTAGTAATTTTTTCTCTCTTCTAGAAGTAACTACCACCTAGTGACCATTAGAGGAACTGCACGTTTTGACACTTGAACCTCCAGCTACTTGAATACACACATGGATGCACACAAACACACACACACACACACACACATGATCAGTGCACACACAAACATGCCAACCTGCTCGTGCGCATCTGCGGCACACACACATCGTCACTACCCAGTCTACACATTGCCTCAGGCTTAAGCTGTCAGTTAGCATCAAACTAAATACACACACACACACACACACACACACACAAACACACACACACACACACACAGTTGTGGGTTTTGTATTTCCATGTTATGTTTCATTATAGATGAGGAGGATGCTGGGATATGTCAGAGGGAAAACACACACAGGGAAAGACAGAAGACAGTCAGGCTGGCTCAAACTCGTCTCTACACACACACACACACACACACACACACACACACAGAACGACAACTTGACATTAAATCACTCATAGACATGCACACAAACACCCCACCGTATACATATTCATACCCAGTGACAAGCAGACACAAAGATGCACACACTCCTCTTCCCTGGGGACTGTGTTCTCTGGCTTTACTTGAATGACTGAATGATGCCATGGTCGTATAGGTTAACACAGAGTGTGTGTGTGTTTGTTTGTCTGTGTGTGTGTGTGTGTGTGTGTGTGTGTCTGTCAGGATTTGTCTCGGCCGCAAAGAGACACTGGATCTGAGGAGGAAATGATGTGGAACATAACTGACACACGCACGCTCACAGACATGTACAGTCACTCAGCGTGGAAACATGAAACTTTAGCTGTGGTCGCTGCACGAGTGTGAAGGACTGAGAGAGAAAAAGATAATGCACCGAAAAGCACTAGACAATCATCATCAAGTATTTTCTAATGAACTTTGAAATAATCACTTCACAGTTTGTGATCTGTCAGTGCAGTTAAGTTCCCTCAGTAGATTTAAGTTTCTGTTCACGCAGGAAGCGTTGACTGTTAATGCTACGCCCGTGGCTTTAGATTGTGTTTTTTCTTCAAGGAGAAAGTTTGATAACGCACAACACAGTTTGCAATGACAACATTAGCATTCTGTAATAAAACCACAACTATACTTCCTTATAAGTATGAAATGTTTTTATTGTTTCCCTTTTTACTGTAACTTTTAACTTATGTATTATTTATGTTTTCAAATTCTTTACAAGAATATCCCCTTATTCCGTACATCTTCATTTCATATGTTACGTCATGTTTGCTTTTCATCTTGAAGCACATCGAGTCTGTTTTTGTCATTTGAAAAGTGCCACATGAATAAACTTCACTCGACTTCACAATCTTGATTATAAACAAATTTTTCAATTTCGAACACGGAGCCGCTTGGAAACAGATGAAATGCTGGTATCTGATTTGTTTTATCTCGCTCAAGCATGATGTGAGATAACAAACGCAGTGAGCTGCTCAGACTGATCTTCATCATGTCCCTGAGGTTTGAAGATCAGACCAAATATGCCAAATATGTGATTTCGTTCTCCTGACATAAATGAACTTTAACCTCCAGGACTGCGACGACCACACCACTGGCCCCCACTGTGACGCATGCCTACCTGGCTACTATGGTAACGCCACCCATGGCGACTGTCATCCCTGCGCCTGCCCACTCAATCTTCCCAGCAACAAGTAGGTTCTGAAGGGGCCGAGGTTAACGTCACGATTTAATCAAATGCCTCAATCTATCACCGCTCAACCTCAATCTCTGCTTCTGACCCGTCTCTTGATAATGTTCTTTCCACTACACTACATTTTTTCTTTTTTCTTTTCTTAAATAACATCACCACAAACGGAGGCTTCATCACGATGAGTAGAAATATAATTGTGACAGGAATAGAAATATCGTCACTGCAGATAGAAGCGTCAATACAAGAGGAGAAATATCATCGCTGTGGGTGGAAATGTCATCGCCGCTGGTAGAATTAAAAGAAGTGCTATAAAACTTAACACAGCAGCAAACTCAAACATCTCCCACAAGTCATTAAGGTGTTCAAACCTTTTCGTCACATCGTTCCTCTGGTGTGGAACACTGCTCGTGCTGTAGATTCTCACGTTACAGCAAGTGTCTGCTCAAAAAGGTTTAACATCTGAGGGCTGCAACATTTTAACACATGAATGAATGAATTCATCATCCATCAAGTTGTTAGTGCTTTGTAATGAACACAATCACACCCACTGACATTTTACTGGATTATAAATAATCTAGGGGAAACAATTTTTAACATTTCTAGTATGTGCTTTTATTTTTGTTGAGTTCAAACAAGGCGATTATGAGATGCTTGATAAAACAAATAAAAGCCCCGATGCAAATACTGTAGTACCTGTAGTACTGTGGGCCTGGTGGAAAAGATTTGTAGTGCCTCCTATTGGCCAATGTTGTTATAATTTAACAACCACTGCTCTCCTTTAATATAAACCAAGGGTTTTGAGGATTGGGCCAACTCTGTGAGTTATGACGAAATCTGCCCGAGGCAAATTATGAAACATATCCTGCAAACTTTATGTGTAATTATAATAATAATAATAATAGTACAGCTGAAAATGAACTGCTGGTCTCAGAATATATCTAGCTTTGTTTTTCTGGTTGAGATATTAGTTTTAGCTGAGAATTCCGTGTTCAGCAACAATATGTAAACATTGGTTAAATGAGATGTTTACCTCCTTTTTAACTGAGCTGCAGTTTCTCCAAAGAACCAGAGAGAGATGCTGTACGTTGGGCACAGTCGTCACCAGCTCACGCTCACAGGCAGCAGCAGCTGAGAATCCTCATGTAGTCATGACACATCACGTCCAGAACTCCAAGAGCTAAAGAAAGACACTACTCTCTCTCTCTCTCTCTCTCTCTCTCTGCTGCTCTGCCTCGCTCTAACCCTGGCAGTAATAATAGCTTGAAGGTGCTTTGCTTTTCAGCCCCTCAAAATAGCCCATCCAGTCCCTCATGTGCACTGAGGCCGGCCACTCAAACTGCCAGACGGCCGGTCGGCCTGTTGTTAGCGGCGGAGCCTCATCTCTCGCGAACATCTGATAAAGTGATGTTCATATTAGTTTCAGCACAGGAAACAGGCTGGTGATTTACAGCCACTCGATAGAAATCAATTTAGTCCTCCAATGCTGTTCTATTTAATTTACACCCAGGTTTAATTACCCTGCTGCAAGGAGGCTTTTTACTGTTTTTATTTGCCAGTCAAAATCTATTAAACATATTTAATTTAGTTAGAACTCGCTCAATTATACAGCTTTACCTCCACTTTGAGTTTTTCTTTTTTTAACCCAAACCATTGCTGTACGACACTTCTCATGCCCTTGATAACTTACTGAAGTACTTTTTACTTTTCAGTTTTCCTGTGACTGGAAGAAAAAATTGATGGTCTATTTTTGATTAGTTTTTTTGGCTCTATGTTCACAGGGAAACTTTATTCACTGATTTCACTCAGCTTTTTAAACATCTATAGACTATAGATATAAGCATGTGCAGTCTTTATTAATATTCATTAATATATATGTTTTAGTAACACACATTCTTCATCACATCTTTTCCCCCTAAAACACATTTGAGAAACCTTTTGACTCCAGTGATGAATAATCAGCACAGTTTCTTTTATACAATAAACAATATTGTGTATACTTTAATATAATTCATATTTTCAAACACTTTTTCTACATGTTTTTTTATTTTTAACCGAACCAGCTTGTAAGTCACTGAGCCATCTCTTGGTTACGGAGTCAGACCAGCAGTGAATCAGTCTGGGGCCTGGAACCCGAGCCAGGAGAACTATCTATAGTTTATGGAAGTGGGAGGGTGACAGAACAGGGGCGAGAGACTATCGCTTTACTCTGTGTCTCTCACTCTCTCTCATTCTCTCCATTCTCCATCTCTCGCTCTCTCTTCTGCAGTTCATGTAGGGCACAGTTTGTCGGGAGGAAGAGTGTTTTCAAATAACGCAGTGTGTGGAAGTACGAGACGTCCGAGTGTGAAAGAGAGGGGGCATTAAGTGTGTGTGTCTGTTAGAGAGTGAATGTGAGGACGGGGAAGTGAAAGTATCGACACAGGTTTTTGTGTGTGTGTGTGGGGAGAGAAACAATGGCCTTAACTCGCCTTTGTCCTCTCCTCTTCCTCCTCTTCTTCCTCTTCGTCCTCCTCCCGTTCTCCACGCTGGGACAACAACGCTACCAAATTCAACAACGACTGCAACAACTGTCTCAACAACGTCGCCACGGTAACCGCAACAGCTTCAGCCCCACCTGCCACCTCGGTGACGAAGGGTTGCTGTGCGACCAGTGTCAGCCTGGATACACAGGACCACGATGTGACAGGTAACACACACACACACACACTGTGGACACTTAAACACTCTGATGAACAACTTGGAAATCTCAGAAAGTAAAGATCATTATTAATAATAAAAAGACAACGATAAGAAATCCACCTCCATAAATCTTGTGAATTCAAATCTGTTGCACCAGTTTACGATTATTTAAATAACACGATGGCTCATTAAGCACAGATTATCTTCCGTGACCTCATTGCAGCATCTTTACAAGTACAACTGCATAATTGAATTAATTTAATATGCATAGGAAGAATAATCTTAAAAATAAATCCACTGTTAGTGTTTTCTTTTCTCTTTAAACTTCCTATTTGGCAATTTGATTTAGTTTATAAGCAGAAACTCCTCATTTTTTGTAGTTCTTCATGTCTCACTCTCCAGTTTTCTGTCCACACAACATTTATTAGCTGAGTGAAATTAATTTTTCACCAACCCAGGACTAATGAGAAGTCTCTGGTTGACAGTCTTGTAACACGTTCGGCTCCACTGTCATGTGTTGACGCAGAGTAAAACCAGGTTTCAGTGTTTTGAAGTGAAACTGTCCACAGCTGAAATGATCTGTTACTCTCCTGTATCTTTTACTCATGAATATAATTATTGTGGAAAGTTTGACGAGTTAGAAATTCCACTTTTGCACATGAGGAATGTTGAGATCATTTTCATTTATTAATAGATGTACACAAAATCAGAGAGCAGCTATTGCTGCTATAGAGCCACCAAACCTTTCAATGAGGCATCAAGACTGAAGTAATAAATGGTATTCATTCATTTATAAAGGCAACTCAAACGTGGTTTCTTATTAATAATCTATAAATTCATATTTTAAACATGTACAAAGCAGTAAACTCAGTACAAAGGGTGTCTTCTTACAAACAGAGATAGATTGATGAGATATAACGATGAGGTGGGGACTCTATAGAAAGTATTGCTCCAAATAATATGAAATACATACAAGAGGTTCACGTGATGTCTGTCATGTGTTTGTGGTGGGATCTGGCTCCTCCCTGTATCGTCTCTGTATACAGGCTTGATGTTTTACCACCAAAGGCAGTACAACTGTAAACCTGATACACACTGTGTCTCCTTCCATTGTGTTCTCTTTGAATCTTAACACTTTGAATTTCCACAGACGTTCCATCGGTCAGTTTTCCTTGTTTAGAATAGCAAATGAAAATGCTTTCATGAGCTGCTCGGAGTTTAAATTTCTTTATATCCATCAGCGTATACTCTGATCATTTTAATCTCCTGGATGAAACATTGGCAATCAGTGTGCGTTATACAGCCCGTTGCTATTTGTTTTCAGTTAAACGAGAGCTGCTACCCGTGGACGTGGCGCCTCGGCTCGCTGGCCTGCATAGTCTGCATGCCTGGTCCTGCTGTCCACAGCAGAATCTGTCTGTCTGCCTTTTAGTCTTTTTATAAACCTCGTTTGCCAGTGGGAAGCAAACTGACTCATTGTCGGACTATTTTGTCACAGAGCGACATCTGCACCGCACCGTACGACAACAGTCAGAGGTCGAGCAGCGACGGAGAACCAGCACAACTTGACTGGTCCGCCTCTCCTTCTAATCAATGAGAATCCGTGGGCTTCTTCCTACAGTATGACATTAAACTCCATAAGTACTAGAAAGATTCTGAGTTTCTTTCTCGACGGTGTTTGTTTTGTTTACAGAATGAATCTGTGCACATGCATTCTTCTGCTCTGATGCCATATGGTGCACGGAGTCACAGAGAGAGGACAGCTGTTTCCTAAAAGCAGAGGAAAAAAGAGACTGTGCTGCATCGACTCAGGACACATCACGTAAAATAATACTTTAGTGCAAATGACGGTATTAAAGAGCTAATCTTTGATACCTGCTATGCACTACCTGCCATTACACTTCATTATCTACAGTCCTTTTGTTGTTGTTAGCGGTAATTAATTGTAATCTGCCAATTTGTCTGTATTATGGGCTTTAAGAGAATAAGCTACCCTATCCCTCCCGTGCTAATAGACCATCCGCTCGCTGCTAAGTGATTCAGCTTTTCAATTTCCTGTCCATAAACAGTCATTTAAAATTAGCTGAGAGATGTTTGATACAGCTGCCAAACTAATAAGTCCGTTAAAACTCATCAGCTGCTATTCAGTGCTAAGTAGAGTTTGTCCCTAAATCCAGATGTTTTCAGTGTTTCAAAGGTATCTCAGGTATTTCCACTATAGATGGTTATATATCTGGACACCGTTCCATAAA